CATAACGCAGGTTTTTGATGACTCTTCCACCAATCCTGATATCACATTCCTCCTTGTACAGCTCAGCATCTCAGATGATCTGTTCTGCATGCAGATTGAAAAGGTATGGAGACAAAATAAATCCCTGACAGACCCCCTTCTTGATTTTGAACCATGCAGTGTCTCCTTGCTCTGTTCTCATGACTCTTGGTCCAAGTATAAGTTTCTCATTAGCACATTCAAATGTTCTGGGATTCCATTCTTCTCAGAGTCAGCCATAGCTTGTTGTGATCCACACAGTCAAAATCCTTTGCATAGTCAATGAAGCACAGATAGATATTCTTCTGGTAGTCTCTGCTTTCTGCCAAGATCCATCTAACATTAGCTATAATATCCCTAGTACCATGACCGTTTCTAAATCCAGCCTGTACATCTGGCAGTTATCTGTTGACATATTGTTCCAAATGTTTTTGGATAATTTTCCTCAGAATCTTGCTTGCATGTGATATCAATGATATTGTTCGATGATTTCCACACTCTGTTGGGTCACCTTTCTTTGGAATAAGAACAAATATCAATCTTTTCCAGGGGGTTGGCCAGCTTGATCAAGAAGACATAACCTTGGTCAACATTTATTCAACACATGACACACTTGCAAAATACATAAAACAACTGTTAACAGAATTGAAGAAAGAAATAGACAGTACCACAATAGTGGCAAGAGACTTCAACACACCACTATAATCAAAGGATCATCAATTAAAGAAACTCAATAAAGATGCAGAAGATCTAAACTATATAATTACCCAACTCAACCTTGTAGATGTATTGAGGGTATTGCACCCAACTAAAATTCAATTCACTTTCTTCTCAAGTGCACATGGCACATTCTCCAGAATCAATCACATATTAGGACATAAAGCAAGTCTCAATAAATTTACAAACATTGAAATAATACCAAGTATATTCTCGGAACACAGTGCTATAAAGCTAGAAATTAACCACAGGAGGATAAAGCTTACAAAAATACCTACTGTGGAAACTAAATAACTGCTAGAACACAATTGAGTTAAAAAAGAAATAAACAATGAAATAAACAAAGTTCCTTGAAAAAAATGTAAATGGGGCTGAGGGTCTTATGTCTTTTTAAGGATCCCTGATTTGGTATTTTTTGTGACTTTTAAGAATAGTTGACATCAGATTCTGACTTCTACTTCTGTCATTTCCCCAGTTTTTATTCTTGGTGGCTTAGATAATTGTTTTACCTGTTTACAACTTCCTGGTGAAAAAACTTTCAGTTGCTTCTCTATCATCCATTCATCTCTTTTTTTCCACCCTTGCTAAAAAATAACCCAAAGGAAGGATTTATAATAACAGTATATAATAACAAGAAAAATAGCCCCCTCCCCACTTGTCCAAAAATCCAAAGCAGCACATTGGCTTACATGAAGGCTCAGTGGGACACAAACATGAAACCATTTAAGGTTCTGAGTTGCACACTGAGTGATCACAACTAGCCTTAAAAAGAAATACACCTGTGTATAAATTTAGGCTAGTTCCTGTTCTTAATTAAGCAACCATTTGAAAAAATTATATAAAATTGCTTTTTATTGGGAGCATCCTGAATGAAAGGAAGATAATGTGTGGGTCTAAATTGCCCATTTATTTTGTTTGAGTCACTGGTTCTGTACACCATGCCACCAGTTTACCTGACGTTACTCAGTTCCTGATATGATGATTTTCCATCTGGATTTATCTGTTGATTTAAAGGCTACAAAGAAACTAAAGCTATGAACAATTAAAGAAGTTTTACTATGGGTTGCATCTAACAGACAAAAAAAAAAGTTGTATAATGAGATGTATCCAGAAATGCAACTACTTCCAAGTATTTTTTTTTTTCTTATAGATTTCAGAAGAAAGTTTTTAAAAATTGTCAAAGTTTTTCATTTGACCACACAGGATGAAATAATACAAAGGAATGATTTTCAAAATAATCCTCTTTAATGAGACCAGGTTGGCACAGTATGTTAAGTATTGGCCTACTAACACAAAAATTAGTAGTGCTAATTCACAAGTCATTTCATAAGAGTTGAGGCAGTCCAGTGTCTCAAGATTTGCTGCCTCAGAAGCCTGATAGAGGATTGTCAGGAGTCAAAATTGACTAGAGAGCAATGGGTTAAGTCTGGGCACTAAGCAAATAACTGAGATTTTTTTTTTTGAGAAATACTACACCCCTCACCAAGAAACAAATTGAGCCACAGGATTTGAAGAGGCTGAGGGTGGACTTGGAGACAATCATACTAGATTTAAGTGAGGCTTCACCGAGCAGAAAAGAAAAAATCACATTTCAAAAGATCTTGAGAAAGGATTTCTATTCCCTACAGAATCTGTAGTCGATATTGCAGATTCTCATTAACAAGATATAATTATCTCTATTCAATGAAAATGTTCTGGAATCTGTAGCCTATATTGCATATTCTCACTAATGAAATATAATATCTCTATTCAATGAAGAGGTTCTGGATGGAGTAAATAATTTTTACTCAATTGCTGACACAGAAGTTAGTAGTTTGAACAGACCTAGCAGAATCATAGAATGCCTGAAGATCTGTTTCTGTAAAGATTCTCCTCTCCTGTCCTCTCCTCTCCTCTCCTCTCCCTCTTTCTCTTTCTCTTCCTCTCTCCTCTCTCCCCTCTCCCCTCTCTCCTCTCTCTCCCCTCTTCTCCCTCTCCTCTTTTAGTTCTTCTCTCTTCTCCTCTCTTTCTTTTTTCTTCTCTTCTCTTCTCTCTCTCCTCTCATCCCTCTCTCATATTGTCATCAAGTCAGAATTGACTCATACCTTACCCCTCCGTTGGATTTCCAAGACTGTACATCACACAGAAGAGAATCTTTCCCTTATGGAGCTGCTGGTGGAACCCCCAGAGGTTCACAACTATCGACCTTATTATGCCCACCAGAGTCCACCAGAGAAGAAGACTCTACAGAACAGTTTTTACTTTGTCACTTGGAGAGGCCATAGATAGAATCAATACTGAAACCAGTATCTGTTCTTTTTAAATCCAGTTAAGACTTCTACGTAATGAATACATCTTTTATTTTCTTAAACAATAAAAGCATTTTTAAGTAAAAGACAGCTAGCCATGTGTACCCTCTGAATCAAAACACTTCCTAAAGTTGAAGATCTTTCATTTTCCATTGTTAGTCGATTTATTGTAATTATTACTCTTTGATATCTTTCTTCTTTTTTTTTTTGCCTTAGAACAGGGAGATCAAAAAGCAAAATATAGAACTAAATGCCTCAGCTTGAAAGTGCTTTCACTAAAATGTTCTCCACTTCAGCAAACACTTTTTATTTTATTTATATTGAGCAATCATGTAAGTTAGGCAATTTTTTTCTAAAATGGCTTAAAACTTTTATATCATAAAATGCAGATCATTTGATTAGATAAAAATCCTGTAAAAATGAGCTTCAGAGAAAAGCAGTTTCAAAGAAGCTTTCCCAGACTATAACTATAAAAAGGTCCATTTTCCTATTTAGATTGCCATTGGTGAATGAGAGAGAGATATAAATGTCATTGAAAGACAGATTATTTATTATATTTTGCCATCTGCTAACTGCATTGGTTATTTGTGTCTACTAGGTGAAAAATACTTTATATTAATAAATTCAAATGATTTCCTGTTGTCTTGTAGAAACAGATGTCATCTTTGCAGCTTGAACTTGTTTAAGTTCACAAAATAAAAATATATATG